GATGTTTGGTGTGATGGTGTTCCACAAGTTGTAATGGACGTGTTGTGTACGAAGATGTTACCATTGCCAGCTGGTGAATAGGCTGGAGGCAACCCGTATTCATTTCTCAACATCAAAATACCCTCACAAAGCCTGCTCATTTGTTTATGTGTAGGAGAGGAATGGTGACGTTTATGTTTGTCAAGAGATGGTTGAGACGATGGTGTAGGATGCTTTCTTATAAAAGTTCCACCAATTCCACCAAGTCTAAATCGTTTTCTGAAACTCATCTATTCCTTCCGATCCAGCTTCTTTGGTAAAATTCTGTGCCGTTGTATCAGCACTTGTGCTGTAGACTTTTATGAAAGCATGGGAAACATTCAGGCACAAAAGTGTTAACCTATTGGGTATGAGTATTTATTCTTTGTTCCACGTGCCTCATTGGTTGATTCCAGGAAATTGTTCGCCGCTTTCAAAATTTTTACAGAAAAAATTCTTTCCATTCTTCGTCCTCTATCCCTCTGTCACTGCCTCCAAGCAACTTCAATGTTGCCCTTCCAAAACCGAGCAATTATCGGATTTCAAAAGTATTCGAAGCCGAAGTCGTTCAAAATTGTTTCTCGTAATATTCGTCGTACATATTTTGTTTTATATGATGGATGTTATTCATTTTTAATTCCATTTCAATTGAAGGTGTTCCTACATTTGACAGAGCGCTTCTAGAAATTGAATATTGTGGTTAAATTGGGGAACTTTATCGAAATGATAGTGGTCATAAGTACAAAAAAATGTGGATCGACAGACGTAGTTAGATTGGTCGTTATCGCTACGAGCTCCAGAACGCTATTTTATGGATTTGTAAGCTTGCTTATCAGTACTCGCAGTCGGAATTCTGATAATACTGGGTGGCCCAAACCTTGAAGACTAGTAGATAGAGAGTGTTCACATTTGCCAGACCTTGAGTTGCAAAAAAAACTCCCAGTTCTTCTATAACTGTAAACCTCAGGAAGGCTTCAAGAAGGGTTTGACCACTTACAGAACTAAAAGAATATCGGCCCCTGTTAGTATTGAACCATTCGTGGGAGAGTACACATTCTTTTTGCTGGAATGATTTCTTTCTTAGGAATGTAAGGATAGTTCTTGGGAAGGAAAGATAGGAGCTGGTACAGTTATTTCAAGGCAGCCCTAGATAACCTCTTACAAGCAGGTTTTCGACGTGGGGGAAGCATTGGTTCGATGTAATTTTGATTTCGATAGCTCAATTTGATGGGAGTGTTACGCATTCATTACGAAACCTTCTTCTTGGCCTATCCTTCATTAGAAAATCTATCGGTTCTTCATTAGAAAATCCATTGGATGTCCAGTGTGTGAGCGGTGAGTCAGAGGTTTTTCTAAAAACGGGGCTCCGCCTTTTAGTAGTCATTGCTGCGAAATGTTTAAGTATAGCGCGTGTATTTTATTTCTCCATCAAAACTGTCTCGATTTCACTTAGCTGGTAAGGTAATTTAAGCAGATTACGAAGGTTTGGATATCGAATCTCTTAAGATTGTTTTCCATCAGCTAAATTACTCTAAAATCCTACTTGCTAATAATATTCAGGATACCCACTGTAAACACAAAGTGACTTCCCTAATGTGGCCAAATAACTATTTTGTTATGCGCATAGTTATTTATTCATGTTAACTACAGTATTCCACATAATAGAGGTAGGATGTGGAAAAGGATAACGTTTTTTAGATTCCAAAAATAAAACGTAAATGGATACCAATCACTTGTAATTCTTTTGAATGCAGAAATGGGCAAAACCTTCGAATTGGCTCATCTAATATTTTTTTCGTGTCTGAATAAGTCCGTCGTAAAAGTTAACACATCTATTGAATAGCTTCCCTCTGTCAGGTGTCCAGAAAAACCTTGGGTGAAGGGAGTATACGGTACGTTTTAGCGGGGTGCCATGACAGTGAAAAGGAATGTACTTGATTCTGACAGCTGCTTACGGTGAACTGAGTGATGAACTTCAGTTTGAAAATTAAGATAAGGGTATGCCTTGTCTATTTTATGTCTTTAACATTACCTTATTTGGAAAGTTTTCTTTTGGTTCTGATTGTTTGCCCTGATATTATTTGTTTCTGCTGAATGTATGATTTTTTGCCTATACGTAATTATAACAGCCAGGCGTCCATTTAATTCAACCGTTATATTTTCGAATTGGAAGGGAAACGGCGCTTTGCATAATCAGCGATGGAATGCTTCTGCTTCCTAAAAGTGGTCAGGATGTCTCACGGCCCTGCAGGTCACGTAACAATTAGTGGCTTAAGAGTGAGATTTGTTGACAAGTTTCCAATATCTTGTTCTTTTATTGTCAGAAAGAGTTACTATTCCGGCTTGGTTTTGAAGTATATTATGATTTCAAGCTTATCGTTGATGCTATGCAGTTCGTTGGGGAGGTGAAGTTGGGAGAACGAGCGGTATGTAGAACTGTCGGAAACACGAAGCCGAGTTGAAGGTCCTAGGATTAGGTTCAAATAATACGCTAGCTCTCAAACTGAAGCTTATGTCAGACTAGACACATTCTATGAATAGCATGCTTATCACTCTCCGTACCAAAGTTTGCAGAGATAGTAAAGAGCGTTGGGCGGAAATAGCTTTCGTCCAAGTGTCATACTGCTTTAATTGGTGTTGATCTTGGTACAGCCGAAGAATAGCGGGCTTATCAATCGTGGGATCGAAATTCAGCGTTTGGTCCTTCGTTCTGTGCCCATTCAACATCTTTTTTATGGTAAATGCCGAGCTGGTTTGGATTACTTTATGCGTCATATGCATTCCAATATTGACTGGGTTTCAATCAATGGGCGATTTGCTTGCGCCATCGCATCCGTTCGGATTATGATTTCTTGTTATTTTGGCGTTCATTCACAGCTCAAATCGTTGTTGTTATATCCACATCCGTGAATAATACGGTTGTGTAGTGTGCATGCTCCGAATTCCGATAAGCACTTTGTTTTACTGCCTCTTTCTTATCTGCTTTCTTTTGTTTTCATACAGGGAAAACTTTCATATCGAAAAAGTCATTCTATGTAGAGTAATATAGATCCAGGAGTAGTTTAAAGGGTGCTTTAATTGTGCAGGAACAGCAGTAATTGTTTGAGTTCTGTCGCTAATGCAACAGTAATTAAGTGAACTTTTTATTTTTCTATGTGATTTCCTAGATAGCATTAAAAATGGAAATTGTTGCCAGAATATTAGCCCAATTGATGTCAACATTCTTTTAGAGGCAGGTGGTTGGTTATTAGCCGTTATTGGTTCTTACCCTTATTATGATGGAGGCAGGTCAACGTAGTTTACATTACTTCGCCGTACCCAACATGGCGTCCCATTGTCCCATGTATTGTGGTGTTGTCGCTGTCTTTAGTTGTTAGGTAGTCGTTGGTAGTGGAGGATCTTGCTACTTTTACTCCATAAATATCTAGTACACATTCGTTTTTGTGTTTCAAAGTCGCCATCGATTGCTCGCCTTTGTTAATAGAGTATCAAATATCTATTCCTACGAAATGTATATGTGCAAGTAGGCATGCGGACGTATGCGTGCAGGTTTTGTTTCATTTTCACATTTATTTTTAGTTCATTTATACATTAAGCATCGGTAAAGTATCACTTCCGTCGCAATTTTTCAGTTCAGCTATGTTCGGCTCTTCGAATTGAATACTGAAAGACTGTTAATCCTTCTCATGCTCAGACAATTCATCGTAAGCAATTCCAATCCGTCAAAATAGCTCTCTCTGGGGGCCACAGTGCCAAGTCATTCTTTTACAAAAAAAATATGCCCTACTCATCGAAAATCCCGAAAAAAAAGCGGAAGAATAGATTTTAAAGATAACTTTTTTTTTNNNTTTTTTTTTGCATTCATGTAATGAAATTCACTGCTGCCTGCCACTGATCGATTACTTAGCATCGTTGTAGGCCAGTATATTAGTAGCCTGTAGTTGCTCTCCTACTGAATTGGTAAAGCTGCGTTTTTGTTTTTTTTGGAGTTTTGTCTTCTGTTGAGTTATTGGAAATGGCGCTCTCTCGAAGCTTCAGCTATTCTCGTCACTCGAATATGATTCACGTCGTTGTGAATTTTCTTTTTATGTTGGCTGGAGACTATTTTCATGTATGCTCACATGTAAAGTGCTTATGAATTCCATCAGACCAGCTAAGTGCATGTGTGCGATGTCTGAGCAAGAAAACTTTCCCAAGTTCCGATTTCATACTCGTTGATTTTTTCGTTGATTGCCCTACTTAGAGGTAACGTCAAGTGTTTGGCTTGCCTCGATTCGGCGACTGATTCATCGAAGCGTTCGATAGATAAAAAAAACCTGACCCGCCCATTCGATAATGTTCTCTGTGGAAAAGTTTTGGGACTTCAATCCATCACGTATGTATACAAGCTGCAGTGCTTCCAATAGTAATCGTTTCATAATTACTCATTGTGCTTCACATTGGCTACATAGATGGTGTACTCATTAGAGAAAAACTGACGGGTGCTATTCACATTTATAAGTGTAGCTACTCTTATTACTTATTGATGTACTGGTTTTCTCCTTCTCGACAATGCGAGACATAGTCGCGGGAATCATTCGAAACCGGCTTCACCATGTCAAATGACTTCTCGTTGTTTAGTTGAAATCTTTAGTCCACGGCGAAGGTATTGTTATATTGTGCCCTCTATTTATTGGAGACTCTTCAGCGTTCATCAGCATTCATGTAATCTCTTTCGCTAGACTTCGTTTTTCAGAGAGATGACGTGAAATGATTACTTGACTTTTTCTGTCATTTTTTGTATTTCGTTCATGGCCGTGCGACTTTTTTTTACGCGGAAGGTTGCTGTAATAGATATTTAGTCAGCTGTTAGGGTTTCTGTACTTTCAGATTCGGGAACGGGTATGAGCTGATTCTTTCCGCTGCGGAATTGACCCTATACGTATCTCACTCCACTCTTATCCTGCTCTGTACTTAGTTATTCCTCTGCGGTTCCGTTTAAAATGATGGTCTCCAATATCATGGTAATCAATGATTTGACTGCTTCACGGATCGATGGGGCACGGTATGTGGGCGGAATTAAATATTTCAAAAAATCGTTTTTTTTTTCATTTCATCATTCATTTAGATGTTCGGCCAAGGTTCTCGATGGTATGTGCTCAAAAATGGCCTCTTCAAGTACGTCTTGTACCTCCGCTCCATTAGAGACGGCGGCCAGCTCGGAGGATTCTGGAGACAGTTGTCCCGCCACTCCGCATTTCAAGGTATTCTTCCGTCACCCATGCTTTGAAAATGTGTAAATGATGGCTGTAACTACAGTGTGCCCCTCATCCGTTTGCTACAGTATTCGGGCAGTTCTACGCTGCTGATGATTTTGATGTCCTAGAAATGTTGGGCGAAGGTTTCTTCAGCAAAGTTTCGAAGGTAAGCCACATGACCACAGAACAACATTCATTCGTCACTTGTATCCCACTTTTTATCCGAAAATTGGCGGCGTCATTGCGACGAGTTTTGCTCCTTCAAACTTGTTTGTTGATCGCATAGTTGCTGACTATGCACAGATTGCGCAGTCGTTGGTAAAGCCGTAGTTTGCAGTGTTTTGACGGAATTCGATCTGCTATTAGGTTACGTCACATTGAACTTGTGTTAGTTGTAGTGCCGACTTGAACACGTGAATTTCCAAGATTTCTTTGGAAAGGTGGTGCAGAAAAAAGTTGGATTGTAACTAATTGGTTGGCATCTCCTTTTTCTGTGCAATGACGAGGCGGGTTAGTTCGCCCAGGGATAGCAAGGTCGCCACGATAACAGCTGGGGACTGAGGACAAAATTTTTTTCCTCCCTTACCTCACCTCATTTATAAAAATTTCAGCGAAGGTGTCAAGGTTAAAGGAGAACTTCCTTCTCCCAACCCATGCGGAAGCTGAAAGTGGCTAAGGTCTTTTCTATTAGGCCCAGTACCATGTTTATATAAAACAAATCACAGCTTTGTGCCCGTCCAGGGTAACCAAGCCTTTCATTATTCGACTCTTGGTTGGATCGTTTCATTCTGTGAATACCAGAAGTAAGATTAAAGAGTACAAGCTTGTCAGTAGCAAGGATATAGTAGGTGATCTTTCTATGTTTGGTCCAAGTTTCCGCGTCACTTGGTAGTAACACCGTGGGACAGATAGTTCGATTTGCACATTTCAGTATTATATCCTGTGCATTTTCAATTCAAAATCATCGATTAGCTATATAAAACAATACTTTGGCTTTCCTTTTTCTGTCAAACAAATGCCTTTCATTATCAACCAAGGATATTTTGAATCGTCATCTGACAATGTATTACCTGTAGTATTTCTCCCACCCTCCGTTACCTGTAGTGGTGGTCGTTTTTGTTGGACTGTCCACTCTGCTGTGTCGTCTGAAGTGGAATTGCGGGTCATGCATTGTCAACTGAAGGAGATGGGCTCAGAGAAATGCCAGTGTTTGGCTATGGTCTGGATGGTACACAAACTCTTGCAAATGATTAACAATCAGCATTTTACATTACTCTTTTTTTCTCGATTTTTCTGTAGACGTTTTGGGAGGGGCTTGTATAAGCCTCATCTCTTCTCATACGTTTAGCAGAGCCTCGGTTGTACGGTGCGCAGTGCTTCGACGTTTTTAGGCGCCAGTTCAGCAAACAAGTTTTCAATGATGCTTTTCGATTACATTCAAAGATGCCTGGAAGGCGGTCTGTCATAGAGCTTTCTTCTACTGTGTAATTGGAAACCTGAATCCCTGTGTAGCTGAGGAGATTTGCACCACAAAGAACACATCAGGGGCAAGCTTACATTTGGGCTGTGTTTTTCGTAGCCGCAATGGAATAATGCTAACGTTGGGAATTGTTTAGAGCTATCGATCAGCTCACGTAATACAATTTATATGTGACTGCTTGGAAATGTGTCTGCAGAACGAAATCTGAGAAAAGTGCATGATTCTCATGCGTTGGCTGAGCTTTTGCTGCGATTACACCAGATAAGTTGTTGAGGGGTTAAATTGTGAAGACTAATTATGCTCTAGGTAGGTTGTATAAATGGAATACCGAATTTCTCATAGAATATGAATGGCGCCAGGAATAGAATCGAGTTAACCAAAGTACGAGAAAGTCGAGAAAGAGAACTCGAAAAATTTCAAACGAAAGCTCTAACTCTGTGAAATTGTCAGGGTTCTCCTATGTGTAATTGTTTTTTCCCTTTCTGCTCTCGTTCTGTGAGCTCATTTTGCATTCATATTATTGAATATGCACAATTCAAATGTTCTTGTGTTCCGTTAGCGGGCAATTGTTAATTTTTTGAGCATTATAGGTTCGCCTGCGATCAACCGGTGAAGAAATGGTATTGAAGAAAGCAAAAAGTAATGGAACCGCAGAACATAGACGTGCTGTTCATGCTGATGCCGCTCGTGAAGCAGCTATGTTACATCGCCTTTCCCATGAGAACATACTCGCGTTGCGGGGCGTTTGTATACAAGTTGCTGAAGATGGTGAGTTGGAGAGGCTTCCAAAGAAGGAAGGCACCGCTCGCAGCTAATGCCCCTCGTCTTTAGGTTGCTGGGATATGCATTTATTAGTAGACTACTGTGAAGGTGGAAGTCTATCACGGTTGATTCTTGACCACTCGACTCCGTTCCCGTGGTGTCAAAGAGTTCGCTACGCATTAGACATTGCCTTAGCGATGCAATACATACATGCTCATAAAATAATTCATCGTGACCTTACGAGTATGGTACGTTATTCTCGAGCACGTGGTTTTTTTTTTTTGAATCTCGTTCTTCAGATAACAGTACTTTTTCGTTCAGAACGTTCTTTTGCAAACATCTCACGAAAGTTCGGTCTGGGGTCGAGCAGTTGTTGCCGATTTTGGATTGTCATGTCGATTTCCAAGACGTGGAGAGAAGCTACCTCAAGTTGGAACTACTTACTTCATGAGCCCCGAGTGTCTCAAAGAGGAATACTATGATGGAAAGGTAAATATTAAAAGTTTCCATTTTTACTAAGCCTTTCCACTTGCACTTCTATTTTTCTTTTCTGGCCTTCGCAAGCTATTGAGCAAGGCTTTTTATTCATTTTTTGATTTGTATCAGTTTTACCGCTGATCGAACGAAAGTTTACAGCGCTGCATCAGGTGATCTGCTATGACCTTAGTGTAATGGGAACACTGATTGGAGTTGAAAGTGAGCCTTGTACTTATGAAATCGAATTTCAGTCGGATGTGTTCTCATTTGGTGTGATTATGTGCCAATTGATAGCGAGAATAGATGCCGATCCTGATAGTGGTCTTCACCGAACGAGTAATTTTGGATTGGATTACGTACGCTTTACGCCCTGCTGTCCTCTAGACACTCCAATTTCATTTCTCAAGCTGGCTTTTCATTCCTGTGTTGTAAGTTTTCCATCAACCTCACTGATAACTGATTAGCGGCCTCTGCAAACCCTACTGTTTTCAGATGGATCCATTGGAAAGGCCGTCCTTCGAAATGATTGTTATATTGTTACAAAATGTTATGAACGTAGTGCCATCTTCTCCAAGTCAATTAGAAGGTTTGTTTGACAATAGTTTTGGCTTATGTAGTCAATTCGGGTAGTTTCTAGGTGAGATGCATGCGTGGCGGTTAGTTTTTGGGCAATTTTCCTTCTCACTGATTCCTGCTTGAGATTAGAAGTTTAGGATGTATGCTGACTTCCCCTCCTCTTAGGAAATTACGTCTTGATGATTGCCACTCTTTACATGACCTCTTCAATTTCTTTCCACTTCCAGTTCGAGGAGAAAACAGATTATCTCGCTCACGATCCGACGCCGCTCTGAAAAAACCAGCAGCCGCTGTTATGGCCGCAAGAAAGATGTCCAGTAATTATTCCAAAACAGTGCGTCCTATCATAGAAGGCAAGTAAAATAAGTTTTCTTCTAAGATTTTGTGTATGATGCTTGCTGTGGTACATCATTGGCGCCTCGGACTTCATGAATTGTGTGCTGCATTCCGTTTCTCATCCTGCGTTATTAATCGCACTCTTATACTTCTCTTCCATAGTAGCTTCGAAATGTAGCATTGACTGAGGCCATTCACTTATTTTTCGTTGTTTCGCACATTTCAAAAAAAAATCGAGCAATCTTCAGCTTTTAAAGGTGTCTATGAGTCAAGAACACCAATAAGCCTAAGATAGCCTCGCATAACTGAAAACAGTGGCGTGCGCAGGTAATTCAAGTAATAAATGGATAATTATTTTCAGGCGAGTCGACGGAATTGGAAAATTCCTTTCTCGCGATGGAAAGGCTTGCGCGCGACGTGGCGCGAGATGAACCAACCTTAGATCACACCAATCCATTCCTGGATCACGAACGATTTCGTAAAGAAAGAAAAATTCTTCCAAGAAAAGGAAGCCGGCGACGAAGTGAAACGAAGCCGGAACGTGGTCTCTCTGATGGCAATTGTCTGGGTGTAGACCATGTCCGCTTCTCTCCTCATAGGTATCCGAACTTTTTAGTTCCCTTGTCGGTCTTTCTCCTTACAAAGCAGGTTTTCAGCTCACATTTTGGTGTTTTCCGTCGGAGGTGCTCGTCACTTCCACCAGATGTTGATTCTCCATTCATATCGAGAGATCTGGTTGACGAAAAATCTGAGTTCTGTCCTGGAGGAGTACCACTTGTTTATCGTGATTTCGACATGGTGGGTTTTTGTTTGCGCTTTGCTTTAGTCCATTATAGCCTTCTCAACCTTTTATTTTGCAGAAGTTTCTGAAACAGATGAAGCGCTTTCCATCTCGCCGGCACACGCTGATACCTGAATGTGGTACAGTCCGATCTACCCTCGACTTACAGTCGCTACGGTCAAATCCTACCTCTTCTGTAAGCATTAATCATATTCCATCTCTATCCTTATAGCCATTTTGTTTCTGTGTTTCAAGAGCTTCCTCCACTCCACTACCGCAACGTTATCGTCAACATCTGACGTCAACGGCCCTAGTGTGCGGATCGAGGAAACTCCAGATGTACTGTAGTTTCTATATATTTTTTTACGGCTGTTTTTCTAAATACTCTAGTTTCAGTTGAGATTTTTGTGCAAAATTTTCCCAAATCCTGACCCAATAGTCGTCCAGTGTCTTTGATCCACGTAGCATACTTCTCCATTTTATACTGTGAAGTTAGCTCATAGCTTTACTGCGTTGTGGATATTGCTGTTTCTGACTTTATCAGAGACTTTTTGAATGTTTGCTATTTAACCTTCGGCGAATGTACTCATTAAAATCTATCTTAACTTGGACAACTTCGCAACCATCTCAATTACAAATAATGGTGCGGCCGATGAATTGCTGTACTGCGTGATTCGACCTTCCTTGCCATTTCCTTATATAGCTTTTCTTTTTTCCTTTCTGCCAGATGGGTAATTGAGTTTCTTCGGGAATTATGAACGAGCAACTTGCACTTGCAGTGTATTCAGTGATTGTTAGGCCGCAGCGGTAGCGGTAAGTCTTGGATCGCGCCCACTGGCTCAGAGTTTCCTTTTCACTCAAGGTACAGACTGGACGTTACAGAATCATTCCATTTGAATTCCAATTCAATCTGATTCAGTATAATCATCTAAAAACTCATTATAGTCTGCAAGGTGCATTGACCTTACTCAAATAGCACGATGGAATGCTACTGATTAGTTTTTTTTTTAAACTAATAATGCGTTCCCAAGGAAATTTGGAATGCTTTCTGTGAAAGAATTTACGCTTTCCTGATTCACTGCATAAACACCTGCCTTTGGAGTCATACTTCAATTACTAATTTCGACGCGAGAAGTGGCGCTTTCAGGGAACAATTCGAGACATTCCTTGAGTAAGGGTGTTGGATATACGTGTGTGGCCTTAATCCGAAATTAGTCATCCAAAATCATAAGCACGCTATTCGTCTGTTCGCATGGTGGCTTTCCCGAAGGCCGTTACCTTTGAGCTGAGTTGGCTATAATAGCCTTGCTCACAATACGAATCTGGATAATGATTAGGGTAGAAAACTTCTACATACTTTGACTAATTATTATTACAAATGTAATAACTACGCAAAGAATTCATTTTTTGAATTCACAACAACTTTTTTTTTATTCAAAATGCGTCTTTTCAGCATCGACCTTACACTCAATCTGTCTTGTCGACAGATCACCTTCTACCCGATTGTCCACTCGCGAGTCCCGAATATTCACCAAATACAGGCAGGTTTCTGAATTTCTTTTCCTCTGTTTGATTTTCTTACTGTGACTGCGAAGACTGTCGATTTTTAAAGGTGATCGATTGAACAACAATCAAAGTGATGTTTGCGATTTCGCTAGCGGGAGGCCTTTAGCTAAAGGTCCTGCAGTTATTGTGGATACCATTGTCCGTAGCCCTACCACGTTTTCGGGTACCATGTGTGTCACCGCTCACTGTGAAACGTCTCATGCTCATCATGGTAAACATCAGAAATGCATTATTCTTTGACGTAATTTTTGCAATTGTATGTCACTTCTATCTGTGTGAGTTTTACATGCAAATGTGCAGCCGGCTGTGATTTTGGGACATATATATATATTCGATGTAACTGTTGTTTTGCTCATGCAATCGTCTTTTTTGCTTTTCTTTACATTTTAACTTATTTTAACCTCTGTTTTACGAATCGTCATACCTGGTCAGGATACAGTAATTCGTGAGTGATATTTTCTTATCATACACTTTGTCTCAGATTCCATAATGCATACTGTGAAGCTTTACAGCTCAAGCTAAGTGCTTGTGCATGTGTGTTTTACTTGTCACTTAGATATCCGATGGGTCTCAGTTTCTTGTTGATTTCTATTTATACTACATTACTATCTAGTATTCGCACCCAAGTATAAAGTTATTAGAATTGGTGCGCCGATCCGTTGTCTATGTATTCTACTGAATGACTTCTGAAACGAGAATCATAGACATGCCGAGTCTTAATTATATACTATGCCATCTGTGTATAAATAATTGAAGAAACTTTATAAACGTGTAATATACGGTGAAGATATCTCGGGTATATCACATACATCACGTAGAAGCTTGATAACTTGAGGTAGTACCGAATGGATAAGTGACGGTTGAATTGAGATACATGGTAGTAGAGGATTGATCGTTTGCGAAATCTGTAATAGGGATATTTTTGCAGTTGTAACAGTCTAATGGAAAAATGTATGGGGTCTTCAAAAAGTCTGTGGAAAAGGCGGTTTATAAGACGATGATCTAAAAGGTAGCTATTACGCTTAGAACCTTTTTCTTTAGCCTTATTCTCGCAACATCAGCAGATTCAGCTACTCAACCATAGCAGAAATTAATTTCCCTTGAAAAAGTGATCAAGATCGGCTTCAAACTGACCAACAGGTGGACGATAGGCTCTGCTTCGTTGTTTATTGCAAAGATGACATGATCACCACTGGCTATGCACGTGAACGGTCCAGCCATTTCGTTATCGTAGCGAATGGTCTGAAATACGGATGGACAAGCTGAATGATACAGTAATAGGTACAGATTTCTAGGTGAAGGTAGCAGAGCAGTAACTTAAAGAGAGGTTTGTTTTGTCAAGAAGGTCCTGCATCTTAGAGATCTACTTAATGGGAAAACTTAAGACTCTATCGAAAAGTGCTCGAAAGCGAAGTTGTTATCGGAAAGGTGATTCCGCGGCGACTTGGGTAGTCCAGTAGAAGTGGAATGGTGGAGAGCGGAAAATCATCCCTTCTATTTCAAGGAAAAACGAATCGATAGCTCTTATCAGAATAAAATACGCTGGAATAATGAATTTCAAGGACTCGCCCTATAAGAATCTGTTCCCTGGTAGCCTGCAATGATTTTGCGCAACTCCTCACTAAACTCCGCAACCACTTCACTGCTCCTTTCGGAGTAAAGACCACGAGTTGGAAAAGGTAGAGTGAACTGTCGAGTTCCTTCATACTCAGCAGGTTCGTGAGGCTGCAAAATAGCTGAGCATTGTTTATTTAAAAAATGCTCGAGAGAACATACCATAACACCACCAGAGGTTGGCTTCAGAAGCTGCTTTATTGTCTCAAGCAAAGCTAGGGTTGGATAAGTTGTACCGAAGACCTTGAACACCCGATTGATCACCGGAGCAAGCGTTGGATTCAGTGGCTGTAATTGAAAAAACTGATTTTTGGCGTGGTCGTAAAGACCGATCATGTATTACCTCGAGTTTCACGGGGGGTATCTCATAGCCATACAATGCTGCCATGACCCATTCAAAATCAGCAGCGATTGAATCCAAAAAGTAACCACCCTCAAAAATCATGGCCATCGGTATGCCCCACGACATCAGTTGACGTGTGAGGGTAGCATAACCTGCAGGGGTCAATCGCATTTCACCTTCCGGGTCGCCTGAATGATAAAAATGCATGAAAATTTGGGAGATGTAGCTTGTAACACACCAACCCAATGCAGCATCGAAACCACATGAGACGAGTATGATATCGGGCTTGAAATCGTTGATAATGGGATGGACAATGAGTTGGAAGATCGCCAAATAGTCAGTGTCGCTCATACCAACATCATTGAGAGGAACATTGACGGTATTCGCAACTATAAGTAACAGGAAAGGAATCAATGTGTTTGGTACTTACCTCTTTGATAATTGAGTTATAAATTGAATTGCTCTGAACAACCGATGCTCGAATTAATCTCACCTCTCAATTC